TGATTGGACAGTCTCATGCAGCCATTGCTTAAAAGTAAAGAGGCTGTTGGCTTCAACAAAATGGCTGGATTGCCTGTGCCACTCTCCCACAACTCTTTGTGTAAAGAACCTTTAAATACACTTTCCCATGACATCCCTTCATGCTTATCTTGGGTCATGTCAAAGTTGTGCACACTGTATTACTGCAACTTATTTCTTTTTAACTAGTTAACTGCAGCAACTAATTAAATCATTAGCACAACACTAGTGCACTGTACTGAAGTACGTTATATTCAAATAAACTCAAATTTCTCAGCCTCAGTACATCCCCATTTCTAAAGTTTCGACCATTCACTAAGCATAATATATGGATAAAAGGTTATACCGCAACCTCAGACACCAGGAGGAGCTGGAGACGATGGCTTCAATCATTAAACCAGTGCATTTGCAGAGTCAGGACCTACCTGGCGGGAGATGAACCATTTCCTAAGGAGGTCTAGAGCAGGATCAGCGCCAGAGCCAAATGCTGTCCAGTAGAAGACTCCCAAGTACTGCGAGAGCTCAGGCGCAGACTCTGGGAGCTGGTGGTTGCAGCAGGGAGGAAGAACTCAGTCAAGGAAAGCTGGCTGATTGCAAAGAGGTGTATAAGGCCATGGGGGTAGTGGCTGCCACTATGGACATCTCAGGCTCAGAGTCTACAGTTCGCTGATGCCTCTGTCCCCCCTGATCTCCTCTGAGATCACGCCTCAGGTCCCTCACATCACCAGGCTCTTCACTCGTGGTGTCCTGAGCTCAATGAGCTTCACCCCCGGCTCTCACCCTCTGGCTAGTCCTTGTCAGGGAGAAGCAGCGGATCGCCCTCGACTCGACCAATCCAGTTTGACCAGAGCTGCTCTATCGCCTTCTTTGCCTTACTGGCAGGCCGACACGACAACAACCGAGGCTGCTACTCCTCCAGACCTTCCTGCACCTCAATGACACTTCTCAATCTCTCCAGGAGCCTCCCTGCTCCTCTCCACCCCTCCAGGAGCCTCCTTCTCCCCCCTGTAGCCACTGGTCCTC